TAATTTTTACATTCATTGGTAAAGTCATATCAAAATCTATTTTATATTGAATATTCGAATGTGTACATTAAATTTTAAACTTTTTCCCTATTTTTAAATATATATTTAAGCCAAAAATATATAAGTTATAAACTATGAACAAATGTTGCAAAAAAATATATACTTCAACTTCATAACAAATTTTGATAACTTCATTTTGATTACATCAAATATAGATTATTTGAATATTTGCAAGTATCAATTGTATATGTTATATTTTAAAGCTTACTTCATTCAACAAAACAATACTTGTAGTATTTGGAAAGAAATTGTGAAAGTAGTCAAAATGTTTGTTTATATGTTTGATCCAAACATATACAAAGATAGATTTTATCTTGGCTATTATATTCATTGATCGTGGATAAAGTACATGACAAATTATTCAAACAATCAAATGATTTTCTCAAATGTTGCATTCAGTCAAAAAATTCAAATTTCTAATTATGTACACGATAATCAAGTTATTTCACTATAAATTCACTCATATACTAATTTATATTTGAATGATAATTAACTAAATATGATTATAATACTTATGTTTAATTTAATATGATATGTTTATATATTCAATTTAAATGAATATTATAATAATTTTAAATGAATATCAAATTAATCAGAATTAAAACCTATTTCTTCCATTTTTCATGCACATTTTGCTCATATTAAACTTGATAATGTGTACACAAAACTGAAATATATTCAATGAAATTTGTTTTATTATTATTATTATTATTATTATTATATGAAATGACCATGCTATACATTATTTGTAATGTTTTATGACCAATTAGCTTCTAAAATTATCTAGAGATAGATATTAGATTGATTTCTTATTTAAATTTTTTTGGGTATCTACTCTTGATATTGATCAACATTTTTTATATTTTGGCTGTCTATATGTTTTAATATTATTTGTAAAATTTTTTTATTCAGATAAAAATAATATTTTGAAGTGTATGTACAAATTTGAATCATGTCTTTCATAGTATGATATAATTTGATGGCATATTACTGTGTGAGATATTCTATCTTCCAAAAATAACTCTATTATCTTTAATGATTTCTAATTATCTATGAAATCATAATGCTAAACTTGATGTATTTATATAACTATCAAATCATTAATTATTATATATAATCATAGATTATTTTGAATTTTTTAGTAGTAGGTCTAATATTTAAACTTGTGAATTTTGATTTGATAATGCATCTATCAAAATCTGATACTTTAAATTAATTCATGAAATTCAAAAATTTACAAAACAATTTGAAAACTCTAGTCTAACTAATCCATCTCAAAATGAATTAAAATCATTCAAAACTTTAGCTAAAACTTAACAGTTGCATCTAAGTTGATGAGATATTGAGTTTCAAGTCCAATTTTTATTCTACATGTTGTATTTGATTGAATCAAATGAATCATGTGCATATTAATTCATTTAGATGCACCTTCATAATGCATGTTAATATGAATATCTTTGAATATAATAGGATTTATATTGAGCAATGGATTTTCAAGATATGATTTATGTGAAATGAGCACTATGATGCTCATTTCGTACACATACATCATATCTTGAAATATCTTTAAACTGCATCAACTTTTTTTCCATTTAAACATTGTTATGCTTTCTAATCAACAAACTTATATTAGGTTCAAAAGCATAAGATTTTGTTAATATCAATACTATACATGAAATAAAAATAAAGTTATGATGTTACTATTTTTTAAATTTTGATGGCATGTATTGCTTAATCATAAAGTGAATCTAAAACATAGATTTTTGTAATATCAAATTTAGTTTATGTAGATTTAATTTCACATTAAATTAAGAAGTCTGACTTCCATATATATATATATATTTGATACATAGTCAAGAAGATAGCTAACATAGGGACATGTATATATCTTTTGTTATATAAATGTGTAATATATTTTAGTTTACATGCATCTATCGTATTTGTTGTAACAAAGATTAGCTGCAATACCTAGATAATCAGTCTTATTATGCTATTATATTAAATATTTGTTAATCTAACTTTGAAATTCTATGAAGTTATATAAATTGAACTCCACATGTTTGTAACATAAAATGTTGAAGAAATTACTTGATGATTTCTTTGGGAAACTCAAAGTTTTAGATGGGACTTGACAGGTTTCATTTTACCCCATCGGACTCCACTCGTCAACCATACAATCCACCGTCAATCTTATTCCACTAAAAGTTTTTCTAATCAACAATGGGAAATTGAGTAGTAGCAATCTTCTGACCCCCGTTCATTTGTTTACTCGCCTGTGATTTACAACACTGGTGCAACATCGAACATTCATACCGTACCGCAAGCATGTACCTTTAGACACGAGACAAGATTAGATGCAAAAGAAAAACTGTACAAAGAGACTTCATTTCGTTTGTTCTTCAATCCTATCAATCGATTAGCCATCAGATCGGCATACTCTTTTGAAAATTTTGGTCATCGGACCGGTCTGGCTTTCTAAACATGCAATCTATTTTCATAATCCGATTAAATTAAAAAGGTAAAATCCGGGCTCAGATTAATTAGCTCAGATGCGATCGTCACCATGAGTTTGTAGTTTGTAGCCATGTCTGAAAAAGCTACGAGCACAATCATGAGTTTGAAGTACTTCCGATGTGATTTTGCGGAACCTCATATTCCTACCCAAAATAACATCCATAATGTATTGGAACATCACCAACGGTGGGCTGGGGTCACATTGGGTAAAAGTAAAACTCTTGGGTACCATCGAGTGTTTTGACTTTCCCCTTAATCCCATCAAGTAATTTCCACTAAAAGATTGCATGATTTACTATTTACTTACTGCGTCTTATTGTAGATCATGTGCACAACATTCCTCTCCATTGATCAATGGGTGGCCAATACAATCATACATCAGTCGAAATATTATTCCATCATACATCAATCAAATCAAAATATTTTGTTTGGTAATGATTCCTTCCATTACATAGTATTTGATAAGATAATAAAGATGTTTAGATGCATTAACTCATATCTTATACTGTGAAGATATTCGAGCCAAGTCCTATTATACCTCGCTACTTTCCTCCCTAAAAGAATTCTGGGGTGTTCCCTCTTTTCGACTACATTTCTCGCTTCCGTTCCCCTCTTTATCTAGATACCTCATAGAAACATGTGCGTGTACGAAAAGAAACTTAACCAAGGGGATGACATATCATGGACGTTTATAATGAAGGCTATATATCTGCCAAAGTGTTGAAACTCCTGGTCTATGCCCCTCGATTACGTACAGCACAGTACAATGGTTTCCTCTGCAAAGCCTTCCCGGAGTAGCAGGAGGTACGCAACAAAATCCGGTCAGAGTGGAGGGTCAGGCTCCTCTTTAACAGGCCACAAACCCGTTGCATTCCTTTTCGGCCGTCCTTGGAATACCGGGTTTCGTGGGAACCTTTGACGTCGTCAGCCCCGTTGAGGTCGCGAAGGAACCAGGGCAATACAGGTGTCGCAGATACGGGCCAATGGAAGTCGGTCCTGTTCCGAGCGACGACGAATAGATCAAATTATTTGATATGTAATTATGGTGGAGCCCACCAAGATGGTAATGATTAGGACCAGTATCCGGGTTGCCAGCGGCACGAAGAGGTGTTGACAGCAAGGGCACTGGTTTCTATTGGGTCAGCTCAAAAATCACTCTGGAGCCTACCTAATCTTCGACCGTCGATCTCCATCGTTGGCTCGGATTCTGCGACTGCAAAATAGGCGACAGTGGCGCTACTCGCCCTCTTGATGTTGACTACCCTTTCGCAGCTCCGTTCAGATTCCGACGGTGCATGCGAGGAAACCAGAGGGAACCTGGTTCCGGAGAACTAACGGAAGTACATCATTATATGATTTCCAAGTGTACAATTTCAAAGAAGGAAGTTTGCTACAGTAAAATAAAATTATGGGAAGACCCATCAAACCTTACATGAATGGAACGAGCGGGGATTACATTGTAAACTGGAAATGAAAAATTGTACCTAGGATATTAAAATCAATAAGAGGTGAAATGCCTAAAAATAAAAAAAGATATTCATAATCTCATCTATTTTGCTAACTATTCTGTAAGATATTCGATAAAGAGGGATTCGATCAGATCAAATCAGCTAGATATTAAATAACTAGCTAGGTGTTATGTAACCATATCACCTAGTATAGCAATATCTTTCTGCTAAATGGTTGACATTTCCAAGTCTATATTCATAGGTACATATAACTCAAAAGTTAGATCTATAATCAGACGATATTCATGCACATCACTATATTCTGGAAAACTATGATTACCGTTTCTGAACTCAATCTCACATTGAGTAGGATGCTTATGACCGTTTCTAGGAAAAATTATTGGTACAATCTATTAGCATAATTTATACAACATTTATATGAAAATAAGATCGAATAAAAAAGGGTGACCTCACAACCATATTCCACTACGATTCATGATAACGCTCGTTCCATATTAGCAGAGGAAAAAAGCAAGGAAATTATTTTGAGATAACCCAAAAAGAGGGAAAAAAGAAAAACGAAGACGGTTTTTTAACATTCTGTAAGTTCCACGTGTTCGCACAAGTAAAGGACGCGTAGATCTACCCGCAAAAGGTGCTTCTCTAAAGTCCGATGGCGCAAGAGAAGTCGGAGAAACTGGCTCTTTCGGCAGGGCGAGAGAGAACAGAGCGACAGACGGAAGAGGTAAAAAATGGAGTGTCGAAGGAGCCCCAGTGGAAAAGAAGTGACCTGTCGTCGGGGAGGAGCCCGCGGAGGAGGAACGGGAAATGGTTAGAGTTGGGGGGTGACCGACAGGTGGCAACAGAGGCGGAAGGGGAGCGCTTGTGGCAGCCAGTGGGGGAGGCGCGGGGGCGGGGCGGAGCCCTTCTGTCGCTGGCTCCCTCTTTGAGTCTGAGCCTCGGCACTTCTCTGCTCTCAAAGGAGGAGCACAGAGGACAGAGGCAGAAGAGACGACGGCGACTCCTCACGAGAGCAAAAGAGCTCCAGCGCTGCAGCGTTGAGGCCATGGACGCTCTTTAGAAAGGAAGGAGAATTGCATTGCATTCAGTGGATCGAATCCGACCAGAGCAAGGCAGCGAGCACAGCACCCACCCTTGTGAGCGAGAACGCGAGAGAGGCTCGCAGACCATCGGCAGTACTCCCCCTCGAAAGGATCGTACGCAGCCATGCCGGCTGTGACAGGAGATCGTATCGTGTCCTTCGAAGACCAAGAGGATGAAAGCGACTATGGCTGGGTCCGCAAGGTTAGATCACGATGTGCCTTCTCTCCGGACTGGAATTCGAGTCGTTTTTGTGCTTTTCAGCGATGGTTGCAGCCCATCGTTTGCTGGTTTCCGCGACTGAGTGCTTTGCAGTGAGGGGTTAGGCGAAGTTCTCCTGTGGTAAACGGATCTGGAGTCGTGGAGGTGATTGTGAGCTGCTGCGTAGCAAGATGATGAGGAATTAGAGGATTGCGTGAAGATCGGGGTTGAGTTTGGAGTGGTTCGGAATCCGTTCGCGTGACTAGCTTCTTATGTTTCCTTCAGCTCGTTGGATCAGTGCGATTTAGACTTGCGGGTAGTAAGGGAACGGGAGCCTCGGTCAAAGAAGCTCTCTTGACAGTTTTGACACAATTAACCGTCCAGCAGGTTCTGGATCCTGGATCCGGGATCCAGATGGGTCGATCGAGTTGTTAGTACGACCAGTGATGGAAGAGATTTGGGCTTTCGTTGATTGTCAGTCATAAGCTTTAAGTTTTTTTCTTAAATAACATGCACTCTCATTGTCTTTGTGTAACGATGTCCTTCTGACAAGTAGGACATCGTCACACAACGACAAATATGACCTCTTGTCTGAAGTTCTTCTGGGTCGTTCATGTCCGGCGAGTAAGATAGTCACAGCGCCTTTCGGAACCCTGTAGTATCTAACTTGTATTCTCATCTAGGACTCCAATGTGTCTTATGCGTTTGGAAGTATCGCTTTTAGGTTAGTTGCGGAACATGTCTACTGTTGTACATGTGCCACTGTAAACTTTGCTTCAACCTACCTAGTGCTGTCGAACAAGACAGTTGTGCAGTAATCTTGACCGATCATGTTTCCTATCATAACATAATTTAGTGGGACTTTATTGGTTAGCTGAGATTGTAAGCGCACGTAGTTTCGACCTCATTACATTGATCTTTTGCTACAATTGGAACCTCCGACTGCCCAGCTCACTGAGTTCTTCATTATACTACCTACAACTCCTTGAGATGAAGCAGTTCACCCGATGTTTTGATCTCGAGAGGCACTTGGAAAGCAACAAAATTGCAGTCCCAATAAATACAAACAATGATTGGCCCGATGTGGATTGGTGTTAGAATGAAGCTCCTTATTACGGACAGCGACAAATGGACTTCCTCGAAGGAGCAAATTTATCAATGCATAGATCGCTCTGGGGCCAGCATTTTCGCAACAACGAAGATGGCCTTGAATTATATTGGCGCAAATTGTTTGACTTCAAAAGGCCTAACATGAGCTTTGTCGAGCTGGTTATTAATACAGGTTTCCGGACCTGTGGTCGTGGCTGAGGGCATGGGAGGAGCTGCCATGTACGAGCTAGTGCGTGTTGGTCATGACAAGTTGATTGGAGAGATCATTAGGTTGGAGGGTGACTCTGCTACCATTCAAGGTTTGCCATCCACACCTTGATTTTTTGTTGCAAATAAGCCTCATTTCACAGGCAGTACTTCCTCCTCTTCTTCAGTTCTTCCTCTTTTCTCTGCTCAATACTAACGATTGCGCATTCTGATCGTGCTTTCAATACGTGTTTTCGCTGCAGTGTACGAGGAAACTGCTGGGTTGATGGTTAACGACCCCGTGTTGCGTACTCGCAAGGTGCACCCTTCTTCCTTTACTTCTTCGGTTCTGTAGTCTTGCTCCGTTGCATATATAGTATTCAGCAATGTAATAAAGTAGCTGATTCTTTGCATCAAACTGAGTTTCTCCATTGAACGGCTACCCACTGAATAATTTCTTCGTTTCATTGCAGCCTTTGTCTGTCGAACTTGGACCCGGAATTCTCGAGAACATCTTTGATGGTATTCAGGTGAGGAGTTCTTTGAGTACTCTGCACACTTCTGTTTGGTGAGAAGAGTGTGATCTTATGTAGTATTCTGTTGCTGTAATCCAGCTTCTGTCCTAGTTTCTAGTAGGTGACACTGGCTAGTATAGCGGGAATACTGAACCAAATATTTTTCTCCTTGTTGACCTACTCAGCGTCCACTGAAAGCTATCGCAAAGAACTGCAATGACGTGTACATTCCAAGAGGAGTCGCCGTTCCCGCTCTCGACAGAACTAAACTGTGGGAGTGGGCTCCAAAACATGTTACCACTGGAGACTCGGTCACCGGAGGAGATTTATACGGGGTAAGACTCCAAAGTTCTTATGTTTTAGAAAATCTAGAGTGTTGCAAACTCTTCGTTGGTCGTCTCTGAAATGTTTTTTCTTGTCTCCAATTTATTACGGGTCATAGATTGTACCAACACCTGATGTTTATTTCTTGTGAGCTTGCCTCAGACTGTCTTCGAGAACTCGCTTATCGAGCACCACATTGGTGTTCCTCCTGGTGCGATGGGAAAGGTTACATATGTAGCCGAGCCTGGTCAGTACTCTATCACGGTAAGCAATGCCCAGGACACTCCTCTCATATCATCAAACTTGCATGTTTTATCAGTTATGTGAGGTTGTACGTTTTGGCTTTCCAAGCAATGGCTAGTGGTCACCGAAAATGCAAATCAGTATCTTTTTTCGCCTGCGAGTGTAATGTAATTGCCTGTCGAAGAGTCTAGCTCTTTCTGATTATCTTTGACTCAGTGCCGCAGTTATTCCAGAAGATCTGGTAAAATTAATCTTCTTTCTCTCAATTGGATCAGTGTGGAAGCACGACCTACAGTCTGAATCTTGGTGTAGTTTGCTCTCGAATAAACTGCTAACTGACGCGATCGATTGTGCTGTAGGAGAAAATTTTGGAATTGGAGTTCCAGGGCAAAAAGAAGTCCTTTACCATGCTGCAGGTTTTTCATCTCCCTATTCATTGATTTCCACCTAGCTTTTTGATATCACAACTTCTTGAATTCGACTCTAGAGATTTTCTTGATGAATTGTCCCAGTCCATGCCCAGTGTGTCTTTTGCAAGGCGTCAGGTGGAACTTGTATGCTCTATACATCGAGAAACATTGGTCAATCCCTTACATGCGTGGCCTAGCCACGCGAGGAAATCATTCTGTGGTTGTGCTTACTGTATTTAATTCGAAATATGCAGACATGGCCCGTGAGGACACCAAGACCCTCAGCTACCAAGCTTCCTGCTGATACTCCCCTTCTTACCGGGCAGGTAATTAGATGATTAGGAATGGACATTACGTTCGTGTTCTATGCTGCGTTTTTGAAGACTTCAATTACATGAGAACTGTTCTGTCGTTTGTAGATATCTCTTACACCTAATCGATTTATGTCCTAGAAAGGTGAAGCTTAACACTTTTTTTCTGGCATTATATTGCAGCGTGTACTCGACGCCTTGTTTCCTTCCGTGCTTGGTGGTACTTGCGCTATTCCTGGTGCTTTCGGATGTGGAAAGACTGTTATTAGTCAAGCTCTGTCAAAGGTTAGTCCTTTAAAGGCTCACCGGAGCAAATTGAAGTTGTGGTCGAATATTATGTAGAAAGCGCGGTACCCTGCTCGAATTTTCTTAATTATTTACCTCTCTCAGTTTGCTTAAATGGAACGCTCACTTTGACGACTATGCCGTCTTATTACGTCTCAATCAGTGGAGGTTTTGATCTTCGCTATTTTATCGACGTCTGATCCTTCTCACTGATGCTTTGTCGATACTTTTGATGAACTTAACTCTTTTGTGTACATTGCCGTCGTAAGGCTCAGTTTGCTCGTCAGAATTTTCTTGATTTTGACGTTCACGTCATGGTTTCGCTTGTAGTATTCGAACTCTCACGGTGTCGTGTACGTCGGATGTGGAGAGCGTGGAAACGAGATGGCTGAGGTTTGTTTCGTCTACTATCCAATTGGCACTCGTTATTTATCTCTCCGTTGAATACTTAACGAGCTATCACTGACGTGTGTGAGTTATTTGCAGGTGCTTATGGATTTCCCCCAACTTACCATGACTTTACCCGACGGACGTGAGGAATCTGTCATGAAGAGGACAACTCTTGTTGCTAACACTTCAAATATGCCAGTGGCAGCTCGAGAAGCTTCTATCTACACAGGTACGCACTGATTGCTCTTTGACGATCTCTATATCTACCTGCATCGCAGGAAGTCAATCAGTTCGATGGCACTAAAAAACTAACTCCTACTTGTCAGTGATTAGTTGCAGAAGCTCTTCAAATTATCTACACCGCAGACAAGAGTTTTTCGTGAGTCTGTACTCACCGAAGTGGAAATAGATATTAAACTAGTGTTGCCAATCTCCGCAGGTATTACGTTGGCCGAGTACTTCCGTGACATGGGATACAATGTCAGTATGATGGCTGACTCCACATCACGATGGGCTGAGGCACTTCGTGAGATTTCTGGTCGTCTGGTGAGTACATTCGTCTCCAGTACCTCTTTCTTACAGAGAGCTTTCAGGACTTGCTTCAGTCTTGTTGGGTCGATTTCTTGAGTGAATGTGCGTATCTGCCACTCCTGACGGTGTTGTGTAGTCGGAGCTTATTTTTATGGACCAGACTGTAGGTGGTGTTAACGTTGGTCTCACTTGTATATGCAGGCTGAGATGCCTGCCGACAGTGGATATCCTGCCTATTTGGCTGCACGTTTGGCTTCTTTCTACGAGCGTGCCGGAAAGGTCAGGTGTCTAGGTAGTCCCGATCGCACAGGAAGTGTCACAATTGTTGGTGCTGTGTCCCCACCCGGAGGAGATTTCTCTGATCCCGTAACTGCGGCCACTCTTGGTATTGTCCAGGTCGGTACAACCGAATACGCTCTTCTACGTGGATATTTTACTGGCAATCTGGAAGCCTTTCACAGAAGATGCTGCCGTTGTTCTTATCACTTGCCGATATTTTGACTAAGAAATTGATACGTTTTCTTCTGTACGACAGGTGTTTTGGGGTCTCGATAAGAAACTTGCTCAAAGGAAACATTTCCCATCTGTGAACTGGCTGATTTCTTACTCCAAGTATACAAATGTATGGAACGCCGTGTCATTCCTTACCTTACCACCAAATGTCTTACCTGCGCTTCAGGCTCTCGACGACGTTGTCTCAAATTACGAACGTGGCTTATTGGAAACACTTACATATGCTAAGTCATGACGCCTCGCTGTGCAGGCCTTGTCCGGCTTTTACGAAGGATTTGACCCAGACTTCATCTCCATCCGTACCAAAGCTCGTGAAATTCTTCAAAGGGAAGATGATCTGAATGAAATTGTGCAGGTATACTGTCACCCACGTTTACTTATCTAAAACGGTGGACAAAAGCGGTGCAATTTTTAGCTGCTTATTGTCGTAGATCACCAATGAATACATTATCTGGCGATTGTGCAGCCTTGAGGTTTCTACGCGATGTTTATTTTTTAAGTATCAAGACGTTATGTGTTTTGTGTCTCTAATGGTTACTTGGAATGGATGCAGCTCGTCGGAAAGGATGCTTTAGCAGAATCTGATAAAATTACTCTGGAAGTTGCCAAGCTGCTTCGTGAAGATTATCTGGCACAAAATGCGTTCACGCCGTAAGTTGTGTTCATGTTTGTCATGGTTATTCCTTACGTTTCCAATTATTTTTTGTGCAAAGTAGGTGCGGTGTTCACAAATTGTTACAAATAGAACGAAAGAATGGATTGTAATTTCACATATGGCATCGTCATCGCAGATATGACAAGTTTTGCCCATTCTACAAGTCCGTGTGGATGATGAGAAATATGATCCACTTCGGTACTCTGGCCATGCAGGTAAAGAAAGTTCACTGTCTCGCTTGTTAGTCGATTTCTTTCAGTACAGATTTGTATGATTGTAGATTTTGGAGGTCATGGTGTTAGTGACTCTCAAACCTTATCAATCTTCTTACCAATGAGTCTTGTGTCGGGTTCTAAATTCGACCGTGGTAATTATGACTTCTGGTGTAGGCCGTTGAGAGAGCAGCCGGTGCTGAAGGGCAAAAGATTACCTACAATATCATTAAGCAGCGGTTAGGAGATATTATCTACAAACTCGCGTAAGTATTTACAATTTTCATGCGTTTGCAAACGGGCCATCTTGTCAACATTCTTGTGTCATATACCTCCGACTTTTCAATACCGACGGAGGAAATCCCTTACCTCAAGGGCTCTGCTGTCAGCAGTAGTTCATGAAGTTCCGTTAGAGTGGTCACTGATGTTTGAGTATGGTTGTTAATATGCAGGTCCCAGAAATTTGAAGATCCTGCTGATGGTGAAGCTGCCCTAACAGCTAGCTTCAAGAAACTGTACAATGATATGGTAGCAGCGTTCCGAAACCTAGAGGAAGAGTACCGGTAAGGAGATTGTGCTATACATATATATCTATATATAGTCTGTGGCGGGCCCAGGCACCGCATCCACGAGAAATTGTCTGCAGGTCTCCGACAAAAGGCCCTGCACACAATATCCGGGCGGACGTTCCGTTCCGCGTATGAATAAACGTGTGGATGCCCAGCCTAGTTTTGTGCGGATCAGCTGCCTTCGGAGGCACTTACCGAGTGCAGATAAGGTGGATTATCTGCAAATGCGGTTTTGAGTGGCGTGAAGATCTGGGTGCGGGAAGGAGCGGGTATTTCTTCAAGTGTACATTTTCATGCAGGCCTTGATTCTTTGAGCAACATGGTTGTGATTATATCGTGCAAAGTGACTCTTTCCATGAGTTCAAGTGAAAAACAGATTCTGTTACCTTTGTCTAGTTTAGCTAAATATGTAAACGCATTGTATGACCACATTATTCGAGGATTCTTTGTCTTGCGGAGTTCTCCACGCATCTGTCAGATATACTTGCCTAAGTTCCGCCACTTTGATCTGGCCTCCGTTCAATGCAAATGATTCAGATATTGTTGTAAACCTTCCTTGTCAGAAGCAGTTGTAATCAACCTAGCTGTTTGACGTACGGTCGAAGCGGGTATGCTCACTTGTACTGCATCCACGCACGCACACGGGTAGATTTCGATGTTTTTAAAGATCCGTAACGTGGGCTGAGTATGTTCGTGTCTATTTTTTCTATTTCCGAACGACGAGAAGGCTGTTATACTTGGATATGACATCGGGAGGAAATGTTGTATTCACAGCGCAGAACGACTAGAAAGATGTCACAAGGGAGGTCCCATAGAGGATTCAAGTTCTTGCAACTTTCAAGCAATATCTGACTTATGTCTTTAGTTTTAAAAAAAGTACTTTGGAGAATGGAAGCTTGAGACTCAAGTGCTAACAATTTCATCAAGATACAAACTTACTTCGTTACACGAGGCGAACTAGATTAACTCGAATCGAAACAACTCGTGAGCACTGTGTATCATTTCAATTGATTAAGGAAAAATAGAATTTACTGTATTTGGCCAAACTGGGATAATCTGTTGAATGGTCAAGAACAATCTTTATCCATGGTTTGTAGATGCAACTGTAGGATTAGGTTCCAAAATAGTGTAAGTGTAAGCAGAGCAGGTGGTTCCACTACAAAATGTATTACTATTTCGGTGACCCTGACTTTCTTTAAGAAAGTTTGTAATGTAGAGGTAATAGCCAAGAAGATTACAATGTAAAGTTCTATTAGAGTAAGACAGTGTGTTTGTCAGGTACAGAAAAAAACTCTTCGTCACAACTAGTTGTCATAATAATTAATCTGTACTACAAGCTCACAGGTTAAAGATAGAATATACACATATTTCACATGTTCAATTGAGTTTGAAACTGAAGAGAGTGGTTCTGAATAATTTTTATTTATCTAAAGAATATGTCTCATTTCAGGCTGTCAAGTACGCACATTTTGTAAGCGGAATCAAGGTAAAATGAATTTTGGACTGTATTAATTACAATATGGTAAAATACTGCTGTATAACTTAATTGTGTGTTAAATGTTTGAATATCTTTCCTGGAATTTTTCCATATATATATGTATATATATTGCACAATATAATATTTATAATAATATAAGTTTTCTTAAAATTTTTTATTCAAATATGGAGGATTATTTTTTTATTGGTTTGTGTTTTTTAATTTCTGTAATCTTTTTGTTTCATACTAATCTTTCCAGATTTTAAGAATTAAATTTTTCGATCGGAGGTTGAAAATGGTTTCACAGTAAAATATCTATGCTCAAAAAACGCCGGTAAGTAAAATATCGAAGTTCACAAAGTAAATTAGATTTAACATACACTATTAACATTTAAACTAATGATATTTCAATACATATATTTTTTATTTTAAATATAATCAGTTTTTTGACTTGACTTTATTTAAATAAAAAACCTAAGATTGATTAGAATTGTATAAGAATATTCGATTATATGTATTAAACGTTTAAACATAAGGAAAATATGATGAAATTGGATCGTATGTGTAAAAAATCTTATTATGTAAGAAATTTTATTTCTAGACATGCAAATGATGTAAATTATTATAGACTATGAAACATTGTAGTATGTGATGTCAAAGTAAATAATGATATATCTTTTGAAGAATACATTTATTTGAAATAATGGAAGGTTTATTCTCCTCATTGTATTTTCAAGAGCATATCGTTAAGACTGAAAAAAACAAAAAGATAATTTTTAAACTCCTGTAGCATATAAAAATTGAATGGAGTGAGATATGATTTTCTTGCAAAAAGGTTTATACTTACGTAATACTTGGTGCACATTTAAAATGATTTTGGATCCTAAAATTAGACTTGGTGTGCCAATCAAACTTATGATTTGGTATTTTTAATCATGATGACAACCATCCATATGACTAAACAGCTACTTTATCTATGCAGTTAGTAATGCAATATGTGTATCATATGACAATGCTACTCTTTTTCCTTTTTCTACGTACTCAACATTATTCACAATTTCATAATTATAAATTACTTAAAAATCCAACACTATCACTTGACAAGTAGTTAACTTTTTACGATTCAATAGTTTTTTTTAATCAAACGTTGATAATTTTCTTACAAATACCTTTATCAACACATCGGCAACTTTATCTTCAATCAAGAATTATTTAAAGTTCATATTGACATCATTTAACTTTATGAAAAAAATGATGTTGAATAATACTATGCTTTGTGCAAAAGTGGTGTGTGCAAGAGCATCCTTGGTTGTTTACATGAAAGATGGATGCATCTTTCATCTCATTAATTCCTACATCACTCAAAAGCTTGTAAATCAAATTCATTTTTTGATATTTGGATGGGGATCATGTACTTCACTTTGTTGTAGATAAGTAGATTGTTTTATTCTTTTGCAAATTTAAGCAATAACATCATTTACAAGAGAAATATACAAAAATTGTTATTGACACTTCGCATATTTGTCAGTCCAATTTTAATCTCAAAAATCCAACAATGTGATTTTTGTGAAAAAATTCATAACTTCTACTTCAAAATATCTTACAAGTACAACATAATGCATTAGATTGACCTCCAATGTGAAGATTTATAATCTATAACATGTCAGATGTTTTTTTTAATATTTTGATAATAACAAATAATAATAATTTAAATTAGATGTAAATTATACTTGTATTCATATATATATATATATTATATAATCACATTTTTGATTAGTTAATCTAATATATAAAACACAATTTCAAACATAAAATTCCACATCTTTTCATATTTTTGGCCAATAGTACACTCATTGTATAATTCATTGTGCATAATTTCTCACCTTGTGGAATTGATATACGTTATTTGTAAAACGTCAATACTCAACACTTTTATGCCTTTGCAACTTGCAGTGCTCAAGTGATATTTTTATTCTCTTTTATCATAAAAGAGAAACGTACGTGAAACACCATGTTCAACAGCATCCCACAGCCTGGAAACTGTATGATGCTGCCGATGCTGATGACAAGAAGCAATTCTTCCTCGACAAGATGGAGCATAAGAATACCTTGCATGCCCATCTGGGCAATGCGAGCACTCCGCTGACCTTCTCGTTCGACGCCGCCATCATAGATGATATCATTCTATCCGCGTTCTTCGACGAAGACGAGATCGACAGCAGCTCATACCGCCGTGCCGTAAAGTTGTTCCAGAAGGTTGTGGATCGTGAGTCCGACGGCGCGTACCATTATACGTCTACAATCAACAGGGCCATGCAATTTCAACTGACAGCGCGCTTCCTCGCCATAGGTATGTCGTTCCGACAGATCGAACGTGCAGTTGATGCCACGCGGGAGGTCGCCAATGTCGCAAAGCTAGGCACGCTCAACGAGATGTTGGTTGGCGACTATGCCCGTATCCTCGTCAGCGCCGGCTTGCAGATGCTCAGCAACGTTCTGAATCGTAGCGAGACCTGGGCATTCTCGCTAGCCAACGACAGCTCGACACACTTGAGCCTGTCGTATTTCGAGCAACGAATTCGTCTGCACGTTGCCGGCGATATCTTCAACCTGCATTTGATATCCATGCCCATGTTCGACCGGCACACCTCTGAGAACATGGCGTTGCTCGTGTTCAAGATCCTGGACGTCGTTTGTCCCAGCTGGCGCGACAAACTTCTCTGCGTCAGCACCGACGGTGCGAATACGATGACCGGCCGTCACAATGGCGTTGTCGCACGCATTCAGCGTGAGGCCACTCATCCATTGTACCGTATTTGGTGCCTGATTCATCAGGTTGACCTGGTCTCAAAGCGCAATCTGCTCGCTCTATTCGACGGCGATTTCCAATGCATCATCAACAAGGTCGCCACCTGCTTGCGTAAACAGCAGAAGCTGATCGACGATATGGGTGCGACCTGTCCGAAGATGACCACTCGCTGGCTGGCCTTAGGCGTCTGGACCAAATGGCAACTCGATCATCGCCTCGACCTGGAGACCTGGTTTGCGAGTCGTACCGCGCCAGGGCAGCTGCAGCTGCCCCGTTGGTGGTGGCCAATCATTGCAGGCGTGTGTGCGGTGATGACGCAGCTGAACTTTGCCATCGTCAAACTGCAGTCGAAGAATCTGCTGCTTTCGCAGCAGATCGCCGAGATCGAACGCGTCGTCAGTATCATCTGCATCAAGTGCGAGGTTGAGGTCGTGAATCCGCTCGTCGAAGGAGAAGTTGCAGCCGACGAGACGCAATCGGCAATCTGTGGTAAGTGGTCGATCACTCATCGCAATGTCGAGAAGTTCTTGCTTGACCAGGGTTCGTTCGTCAAGCATGTCTTGGATGCCATGACCGTCATTCAGCGTGCTGAGGTGTTCAGTGAGATGGGTACTTTCGTTGTCGGCATGATCGATGGCATCTTACAACTGGTCGCTTCTCGGGACGCTGACAACCTACCATCGGAGGAGGAGATTCCGCCGGTGCTGCCCCACCAGCTTATCGCGATTCGACCAGCCGCATTCGCTGCACTCGCCAACAAACACGGCGGACGACTTGCTCAGCTGGGCGAGAACGTCATGGATCGCATCGAACAAGATCACCGTGAACTCATCACTGCATTCGACAACGAGCCGTCGCTTCACGACGCGCTTGGTCGCTGCAACAACGATACGTCATTTCGTGAAGGTTGGGCGGTCGTCGAGGGTCGTTTCCGTGGTCTGCGTGACTTCTGCGGTGGCATCGCCACCATCTTTCCAAACACTGCTTCGGTGGAGTCCAGCTTCTCAATTCTCGGCTGGGAGAAGGATGCAAACCGCATGTCCCTCACCGATCTGGCGTTGGAAGGCTGCATGCAGGCGCGGCAGTTTGATCTCCTATCAAAACTAGCCTAATTCGTCAAATAAACCATTAGTTCCACTTTTACCCCTTTTAAGCTTTGTGGCGACCATTATATAAGCTAAAAGGGGTAAATGTGGATATTACCCCTTTTAAGGTGGCCTGCTTTTATGGCTTGTGTCATCTTGCTCCATCAATTAGTTTAAATTTTCACTTTTGAAAGTATCTTGCAAGTTGTAT